CGTCCCTCTCGCTGCAGAAACGTGCCGCGTTCAAGAAGCGGAGGGACTTAATTACGACGAATATCCTTTTGGCCCCCTCCATATTTTCCCCTCCTTCCCTCCGCGCTCCTCGCTTCTTTTTTTCCTCCACCGTTCTTTCGAACGGGCTCCCTTCTCTCCCGTCTTCGCTCCTCGTGCTCTTCCACCCTCCCTCCATCTCCTCGCGCCTCTCCTCGGCTTTTATCGCGATGTTGCAATGGAGTTTTGCCCCGTGTTGTGCAGCTAGGTATGCGCAGCCCGCAGAATGCAGCCCGAAGCATCGAGCAAAAGGCCAGCCAGCCAGCCAGCCAGCCACGCCAATTCGTCCCCCCTTCGACCTTCCAACACCGCGGAGCAAACGAGAAACCGATGCCGTGTTGTGAGTAAGACTCGAAACGAATGCACTTTCGCGTGTCTTCTTCTTCTTCTTCCTTTTCTTCTCCGTGCGTTGTCCTGGGTAATGAACCGTTTGCACGCGTTTACCGATGAAAGTCGAGACGGGATCAAGTCCGATTTGACATCGAATCGTTCAACTTTTCAGGTGAAAATTTTCCATCGATCAAGTCTCATCCATAGTTCATCGAAATAAAAAAAAGAAATTGATCCCTCTTCCGATTTCTAATCCCTTTGCTCTCGAGAGAATTATAAATTGTCGCTCGATGACGTTGCGAGCGACAAAGGAAGTGTCGTTGGTTCGCTATTGATCGATAGTTTCTACCACGACGTGACGAAAGTATTGGTGTCTCCTCTCGTAGCCACCTCCTTATGTACGAGCCAATTTAAAATGGTGACCGTCCGCAAACTCGCCCCGCCATTTTCCTCCTCTTATCGAGCGATTTTATCGCTTCTCCAAACTGAAGCGTTGCTTGTTAAATCGTGTCCCCGATAAACGAGAGGATAATTAAAAGCGAAACACGAGGAAATCAGGACATCAGTGAAATAAACGAGCAGAAATAAATGTTTCTTAAATTCGTAAAAAAGAAATTTCATTCGCACCGTGTTTACTTGATCGCTTTGCGAAAATTTAACTCTACCATTTCTACGAAACTTCTTAGACGCTTCTCTAATCTGAGACGAGTAAAAACAAAAAAGTATCGAGACACGAATGTTAAATTCCTTTTCTCCCTCCTTTTATAATTAAAATAACAATTCCAAGATAAAGATTGTTTAAAGTTTACAACGTTTACGACAACTCGTTGCAATTGCGCAGAAACTTGGTTGCGCAAGAAATATTTCGATCGGCAATTCATTTGAGACCGATCCGTGTCCAGCAGTGGCATTGCGCAACGAAAGCGTTGCGGTAACCAACAACAATAATGGCAACGAAATAATTTGCCGCACACGTAGTGGCGAAACGTCGACTTAAACCTTACCTTCTCACCTTTTGCATCGCCTCTCGTTTTCTAATAGCCGTTATTACACGCGCATATGCACGATTCAAAATATTTTCTCGCTTTATTCAATCCCGTTCTGATGAAATATCTTGTGTTAAAACGTGTGCTGGAGATGGATGGATTCGAAATAAATTGTTACGCGCGAACTGAAATTTCAAAATTCTTCTTATTATTACACTTTTTTTTTACATCGAAAAATTTTCAAAGCGAATTATTATCTATCCAATTGTCAATAATTACCGCTCGATACAAATTTTACTCGAGAATTGTATTCGAACGGCACAATCAATTATTTCGAAATGGATTTTAAATAATTACTCTCGGTTTTCCCTCCTCGGTAAAAGTACTGTTGTACTGTTTATTCAAAACGACATTTTATTCCAAACGGATGAATGAAAAATGAAACGAAGGAATAAACAACTGGGGAATAAACGATCAATATCGACGTTCGTCTATACTAAGAATCGATTAGTTACATTTATCCTCCGAGAAATGGGATATCGCAGTGACGAGTATTAAAAAACGTGCAGAATAGTGATAATTCAACCGCAACCTAGTAAACGTTTCAAAGTAACGCGAAAAAAAAAGAAAGAAATTACAAGTTCGATCGATTTAACGTTGTCGAGGAAAGCAATTTAATTTTACTAATGTACTCGATGAATTTGAAAAATTAACCTACTAAATTCCATAAAGTAGAAAAAAGTATTACTCAAAATATTAAAAAAAGAAAGAAAGAAAGAAAACGAGTGGATATTTCCTTAAACCGATAAACCTAAAATCGAACTTTACCGTCCGCACCTTATAAAAATTACCATCAGAAAACTACTTAAACGAAACGGCAATTCTCGATTGAAAGAAAGTCGTAGAACAAAGGAAGGAATGCAGTTGAAATTCGCGGATGCGAGTTCGATAATTCAATTCTTCTTGGTCGAATGTTTTATCAGCCTCGAGACGAGGATAGGAAATTATAGACAAACAAGCAGTTCGATTTGCATTCGAGTTTCACGGATTAATGGGATTCCGTTG